TAAACAAAGATGTGCCACCATTACCAAATGATTTCAGAGGTGTTTGGTGAGTGCAAATGAATGGGCCAGGGACTCAGAGGAGAGTGATAATGCTTTAGTACAGACAAGCAATTTTCTTTCCTCCCCAGGTCCTCTCCACTCCAACTTATTCATGTCAGCCCAGTCTTCCTGCTTTCTCCTGCCATGTTACTCCATTTCCCTTATTCACATATTTGCAGCCCTATTTTGAAGTTTTCTCATCTCAGTCCTAGTCTCCAAGCACAGTAGCTCCAGTTCCATCAACTCCATTACTGGTTTCCCTTTCTTTCCTCACAGTTCTTGGTCACCAGCCACAGGTCTCCATCCAGCAAGTCTCATTGTTACAGTCCTGATCGTTTGTGTCTAGATTTCCTAAAATCAAAATGAGGGCTGAGATTGATCCCTGGGAAATTTCAGCCCAATGAATTACAGCTTTGTCAAAACATTTAAGTTTAGTTGTTTTTTAAAAGAAAGTACCAAATATAGGAAATTTTGGCAATTACTGGATGTATACAAAGAGCAGAATACTAACAGGAGGATACTAAATAGAAATCTACATAGTATGGACAGCACATTAATTCTTTGTGATTGCTTTCTAACAACAGACACAGGCTTGCTTACTGTCAGCAACACTACCTGTTTTTGCAGTTGGGCTGAGGCATTGTGGTGGCAGCCAACTAAAGTAGCTGTATTCTTGAATAATCTATTCCACATAGACTTAGATAGAAAAACATCCTTATACTGGTATTCACATATAAATTCCTTACAGGAGAAAGGCCATAAAGCACACAGAGAAAGAAAAGGGGAGACTATGTTGCAAGTATCATCACATTCAGGTATATAACAAATCCTATTTAAGCAAAAAATATGTTTCTCCTAAACATATTGTTTTTTGAGAAAGTGCTATAAATTGTAACATTCAAAACCAGTATCTAAATGACACTGTACTCTTAATTCTACATTTCAGACTCAGCACATCATCTGTCTTTACACACCACTGATCATCTGAAATGAATGTTATTCCTGACTAGTCCAAACTTTATGTATAAAATGAGGATATAACACAATGCCATACTACAGGAACTGTTTAGGACATTTATAATGTTTTACAAATTTTATGGTTAAGATGCAGGCACAGTGAGGCAAAATAATAAAATACAGCCAGCCAGGAAATAGACACTTACCCACAGTGCTTCATGTGAGGTGGTTTATCCATTCTCACTGCCAGTTTAATTTTCAAGTCGTTGTCCTGGCTGTTTTTGGGGACTATCATTTTATGCAGATCAGGTGACTTTGGGCTATTGGATGTTGGATATAACACTACCTGCAAGTCATAAAAATAAAAACTTCAATGAGTTGATAAAAAAACTCTGTTAAGTCTTTATTGGAAACTTCTAAGCAGTGAAGATTCCTGTGGCATCTACTCCAATATGAAATGCAACTAAAAAAAGTTTCATAAATCTAATAAACCAGCTGACTCAATCTTATTGCAATGGATGTATTTACAAAATTAACTCCCTCCTTTTTTTACAAATGAGAATTTTCATATTATGAGTTAATAAAATTTCCTCCTTATAATACATTTTGAATTAACAGTTTTAAACCAAAGTGGACAGCTGGCATTTCAAAATGGTCATGTACAACAGGAACCTAAACTTTTACATTATTGAGTGCTCTGCTGGAAACACCCTGTTGAAAAAATTTGCTGTAGCCCTCCAGAAGTGACACTGCTTGAGAGAAGAAAACAAAAAAGTACTCATTCTAACAATCTCCATTTTTTTAATCGAAAGCATCGATAAAAGTCAATTTCAGTAAAAATTGCAGAAATTGGAGATGAATTCCAAAGCATCTTTGCTGCAAATGGAATATGATAAATGTAAGATACTATGTTCAGTTCACATATGATATGACACAAATCTTTTGTTTAAATTTACAGGGGTAGACATTAAAAAAACCACCAAAACCACACTGAATGTTAAAGATTTAATAGTAAAAACACTTTTATAAATTTATGGACAGTTTTACTAAGAATTAACTTTAGATTAGTGTCAGTCACAAGCTGTTAAATATTTATTTACCATCCCAAAAGTTTATCCATTTACAGCCAGTACAATTAAATATTACTTCTCAATCAAATCCTTTCCCACAGTGATGTGTTCAGCAGTTAAATGCTGCTGAAACATAATTTCCTTTCATTCTTATTATAAGTACTACTTTTGAATCAATTTAGACTCTAAAATATTCTAAACACGCTATTTGGGAGACTAACATTCAGTAAGTTCAGAATTACCATTCTCATGAAGCACTATTTCAAAAGTAACAACACTCCAAAAAGCAGTGTTCTTCCCATCTTTTATTTCTTGAAAACTGAAATTAATCATTATGTTAACCATCAGGTTAATTTCTTACACACAGTACTAGTGCCTTGGGTCACATCTATAAAACACAATATATTCTCCTCTGTGTTATTAGGAAGGTTAAATCAAGGATTTGAGCAAAAATCTCCAAGCAAGTAGAAATCTAACAGATGTTGTTAAGCCAAAAATATTACAATAGTGTCATTCAGATCTAATCATCTGAAAGATGACGCAAGCAAAAGGCCTTCAGCTTCTCATCTCAATATTTTGCAGAAACATGTTCCTGCATCCCCTTCATATCAGGAGCTCCAGTGAAGCAAAGAAATATGATGCATCACCCCTAATCAAGTATGCAACCTTTGTAACACCAGCGGGAGAAATAACCTGTCAGATCTATTGTGTACGTTCAGTACCTTTAAAAGAGATAGCATAAGAATCAGTATACTCTGGTTTTAACAAACCAGAATGCTACCTTTTTTTTTCTTTTTGCAAATGCACAGAAAACAGAGCTTATTCCTTTCTAATATTCATTCTGAGTAAAAGCCATCCCTTAAAAGACATTTAAAAGCATTATGAGTATGGCAGCATTATGTTCTGATACATCAAACAGAAAATGACTTCTGGTTTATCTCTTTAAATGCAAGATTATATAGACAGAATTATTACTCATTCCTTGCATTTAATCACTTGGCATTCACATAGAACTGTAGGTAATGTTAAGAGTTTTTTCCTTTTCTACAGGCTGCAGTTCCTGTTGTCCTGTAAAAGCTTATTACAGCTCATGCACCTCAAGTGACATATTTCTCCTGTCAATTTCTTGAGTTTTCAGAATGCTGATGAAAATACAAGCAGACAAGAGTATAATTAATTCATAACTTTGGTACTGACAATTCCTTTTCTGAATTTTTAAAGAAGTATTATGGAGCTTTGATTTCAAAGCTCTCATAATGAATAGGTATCTGTCAGACTATTTAAGTATGCACTGTGTTGGGTTTAAATTACACTTTGTCATGCCTTCCAGCTTTAAACAATGAGAGCTGAAAGAACTTTGCAATCAAACTTTTGTTACATGCAAACACATGTACCCACAAGCACACAAAGCATTTGACAGGCATTAATTACCTTTAGAAAACCCTTCATACTACTACTGCCCTTCAGGGTAGTGATAACCACAGTGCACCATACTATCAGGTGTCACAAACTGCAAGCACTCACAAAATCACTGACACCAAGACACTCAGCAATTGTTCCTTGATAAGAAAAGGACAAAGTTGCTGAAATTTCTGTTAAAAGCATTCTCTTCACTATGGCACACTGCAATGCAAGGTCATTGCCATTGTCCATGGGGAAACTTTCTAGGCTATTCTGTCTCAGATTTCCTTTCAGCACTGCGTAAGGGATTTTAATCTTCTGGTTGTTTTATAATCTACTTTGAAAAAATGAAATGGTATCAACTCACATGTCTTCTCTGGTGAATACAAAACTCACCTACAGAATACCCTCACTGTGCCTAAAACTTCTAAAAAATTCATAAAACTCCTATTTTTCGGAACTTTTATTTTAATTTATATTATTGTTCATACACCTGTGGATATCACTGTAGTAGGTTATTCAGCAGCAGCAAAGAGAACCATGAGTTGTTAGTCTTGGACTGTGTTAACTATAAGTAAACTAACAGGTAATCTACATTAAAAATTATAATGAACTGTTAATGACTAGAATGCTACACAGCAAACATAGCTGCTGTGCATTGCATTGCTTTAACTCATTCAAGGTAAATTAATAGCATCAAAACAGTGTGGGTTGAGACAATTCAGTAAATTCAATCATCTCATGATCATTAAAATCACTTGGCCATGTAGTGCAATTACATTATCTATTATCTGTTACAAATCCAGCATTACATTTCCTCAGACCTGCACTGTAATTGAAAATGTGTCCAGTTTACTTTATGCCTCTCCTCATTCAGATGTAAAATAAACATAGAATTCTTAAATATTATAGAGCAACACATATGCAGCTGTGCAAAGTGATGTTCTTAAAACATTATTTCTTAATCATGAATGACTGAAAATGTTTCTCTCCTGAGCTTAAAAGATGACAGGTCGAAAGACATGAAGCTAATATCATTTGATGACTTAACTGACCATCATTTTTGTGATTCAGTTGTGTATTTAGGTCCCCAGCTGGGTCACAATAGCAGTTAATTGAAGTACACCTGAGTGAAACAGTCAGTCCAGAGAAGCAACTACCTGTTAATTCTCCTCTGTCTTTGGCCCACTGATAATATCTTTTAAAGGCATGAAAGAAAAGTTGAGCTGTCCAAAGTACTCTGAAAGGTTGAACAAACCAAACTGGGGATGACCTTGATTTCTCAGGGCAAATAACCAAGCAGAAGGTTCAGATTTAAAAGTGCTGTGACTCAACAGGGAATACCTCCTGTTGGTAGATAAAGCTCTCAAGCCAACCATTCCTGGCTGCAATTGTCATGTTGTCTAAAGAAAATGCAGACTTCAAAAGGGACTAACGAAGGTGAGAGTCCAACAGACTGTCAAGTTGTAAGCACACTTGTGAAAAATCAAGAGTCAAGATACTCTCTACCTTTTTCCCCATCCCACACTTGTGGATGAGTTCAGATTCAGTCAATTTGTGTCCTTGCATTCTGGCTGCTCCCCATCCCCTGCTTTCACCCAAACCCATGAAATTCAAGAGTTGAACATAAGTGCTGCAGTTACCCACTCTTTTGACCCAAGTATTTGAAATGAGAAAGATTTTATGAATTGGAGTGATCTAAGACACATTTTGGGCTTTTTTATCTTATTCCATACATAGGCTGAAAAATTTTAGCCTCAAATCTTAAGGTCTAAGTTAAAAAAATTGAAACTGAATTTTACATTACATGGCCTTAAACAGAAGCAGCTTTGAGAGGTTCAGAACAAACAACACACTCATGGTCATTCAAGAAACCCCAGAATGAACTGGAGAAACCAAGCCCACTAACTCCTGCGCTCTACCAGACACACTTCTAGATCAATTTGTGATTATCTAAAACTATGAAAAACAGCAAGTGCCTGACACATAAGATCATGCAGTCCCTCAACTGCATTTGTTGAAGATTTCATCAGGCAACAGGACTAATTAATTCTATGTAAGGCTTTCTCTTTCATGGTTTAAAATACAGCTATTTGAAAGGATGCCAGTGCAAGCAAAGAAGACAGGCAAATTTTATGCTATGAAATAAGTATCCATTATTATTTGGCACATGCAAATTTATGCTGTTGGTCATTCTCTGAGCAAAGATCACAGGAAAATCTCCTAGTTAAATACACTCTGTTTCACTGATTTGAAAACAGTGTTATAGACCCAAAATTAATAGATGACTAGAGACCCTTTAATGTTATTGTTTGTGTAATTCTGGCCCTAGCCTTACTTATGGGACACTTATCTGTTTTTGATAGAAATGGCCCCTGACTCAAGTCACTTTCAACTCTAACTTGAACGTCTGGAGCTGTTCTGAGTTATGTCAGCCCTTTACCCAAAGATTGGTTGATGTCAGAAAGCTAGAAGCTGCAGTCACTGTGACAAGACGTGAAGTTCCCTTGAATGACCCAGCAGCAGGCTACTAAGCACAGCACTCTCCTTCCCTAAGCATTAAGTCACGATGCACTGCTACCAGGAGGATGCAGAAAAAGAAGCTCAAGGAGTGGGTCAAAATTGGAGATAGAAGGGGAAAAGGAGATGTCTCTTCATAGTAGCTCCCTTAGAAAGGTTATCACCTTGGAAACCTCTAAGAATGGGTCAATAAAAGCTTGATCACCAAGGGAGTTTATGATTATTCTATCCAAGCTCCACCATCTCACCTACTGAGTGATCTCTTGCTTTTCAGCTATGATTGTATTACAGCTGAAACACTGAGACAAGGCTTTGGGTAACAGGTGGTTAAAAAAAAAGAAAAACCAGCAGAAAAACTGAACAGGGGCATGGTGAGAGAGCTATCTAAAATCCTCTTTATGACAAAGAATTGGGAAGACTTTGCAATTTATGTAATCAATGGACCTCTGTTGATGCTGCCAGCTGAACACTTACCCTAATAGGTCTTATTGATTGATAAAAGTAGTCTTTAAGTCCTTCTCAAAGAGCCTCACCCCCATATCTAGAGACATCATGCCTGAATGAAAAATATCTCAAGCATTTCTGATGAGCATCGTTCTCAAAGATGCTACTGAGAAACCCCCTGTTAGCATGGAAACAATTACACTCAGCCAGACATAGCAGGGTGATGCCAGGCAGACTGCTTGGGGGGCAAGTGAGAAAGGGGGAGTGGAAGTAATCTCTTATCATTTTCCCAACTTAATAAAAAATAAAGGAAAATTCAGACCTGAGAAACTTCAGTCATTTCAAAGCACAATGGAGAAATGCAATCCCCAGGGTGACAGGATTTAAATTAACATAGTCACAGAAGGAAATTGTCTTCACTCAGGGGTTCTTCGAATGTGGCACAGAAGATAAACAACATGTCCAGTGCAGCTGGCATTCAGAAACATGGCACTTGTGTGTGGATAGGGAGCTGGCCAGTACTGCTATTTCATAATGTCTTTAAATCAAACCCAGAGCAACAGCACTAGAGAAAAAAAACATAGCTGCACAGCTAATTATTGGTGGCTGCAACTGACTGTGGCAAGCAGGCTGTGAGAAAATAGTTCCCTTTTAATTGAATAGTCAGAGTGACAAGGCTGAAATATCCTTATTTTCAAAAAGTATCAGCAATCAAACACCACCTGCTGCTCTCACATTGTATCCACATGTGTGCTAAGCATGCACAATGGCTGTCACTTTGAATTACTAGGTTTGAACATCTTCATACACAAAGTACTGAACAAGAAGTGGTGTTAGATCGCTGAGTTGTCAGTCACATAAAACCTGTACCATGCATTTCAAAGATATTTGAATAAAGTAAGTTCTTAACACTTCCTCATTAGAATAAATTTAGGTTCAAAGATGCAGTTCGCCTCACTTTCTAGAAGTTAAATTCAGGGGTTCACTGTATGCAGAGGAATGCACAGACACAGACACAGGCCACTCCAGAAGCTCATGTTCAGCAGAACCCAAATCCAAATAACATCTGTTCCTCTTCTGTGCAGCACACACCTGTTTTTTTCTTTCAGTGGAAAACACAGTTTGCCTAACTGTTCTCCAGTTTGTGGAGAACAGAGAATAAAGGTAAAGATTTGTTTTCTGTTTGAAAACACTTAAAGTGGTCAGCAGGGCTCCAAAAGAATACCCTGCAGTAAGCAAAATCTTCTCTTGGCATTCATGACTGGATTTATTTGGGTTTTTTTAGAGGAAGACAGCCATGCCAGACAAGTGCCGTAGTACATATTACTTCCTGTCAGTTAAGCCCATTTTAAATGCCTTGAAAGGAGAATCATAGAATCAGCCAGGTTGG